GTAGTAGTGTTCGTAGTAGTAGTAGTAGTAGTAGTAGTAGTAGTAGTAGTCGTAGTGGTAGTGGTAGTGGTAGTGGTCGTAGTCGTAGTAGTAGTAGTAGTAGTAGTAGTAGTAGTAGTAGTAGTAGTAGTAGTAGTAGTAGTAGTAGTAGTAGTAGTAGTAGTAGTAGTAGTAGTAGTAGTAGTAGTAGTAGTTAGTAGTAGTAGTAGTAGTAGTTAGTAGTAGTAGTAGTAAGTAGTAGTAGTAGTAGTAGTAGTAGTAGTAGTAGTAGTAGTAGTAGTAGTAGTAGTAGTAGTAGTAGTAGTAGTAGTAGTGTAGTAGTAGTAGTAGTAGTAGTAGTAGTAGTAGTAGTAGTAGTAGTAGTAGTAGTAGTAGTAGTAGTAGTAGTAGTAGTAGTAGTAGTAGTAGTAGTAGTAGTAGTAGGAGTAGGAGTAGGAGTAGGAGTAGGAGTAGTGGTAGTAGTAGTGGTAGTAGTAGTAGTATGTGCACAAAAAACCCGCCCTTGCTTCGCTTCCGCTGTGAGGTCGGAAGTCTTAGACGACGAGGGCTACGTGCACCGGGGCTCCAAGATCACCCAACTCGAGAAGCCGAAGCCTCAAAGCCTCAAGGGCCTAAATTACCCTGGGGCTTAGGGTTCAGGATTTAGGGTTTAGGGTAACCCGAAACCCCTAAACTCTAAACCCCCTAAACCCCTAGAGGGTCGATGTACCACCCTAAACCCCTAAACCCCTGCAACCATGAGCCCCTAAAGCCCTAAGCCCCTACGCGTCCCCAGCTCCCTAAACTGTGGAGTCCATCCCCCTTTGTAGGGGTCGGGTTCTCTTATAGACCCCTTTGAGCAACAAAAGGGGTACCCCTTTTTGCCTATGGTTTGTAGGTCCCAAGCGTTTAGAACTCGGGATTAGGGACTTCACGGAGCTTAGGGGTTGAAAGTAAAAAGGCTGAGGGCCGAAGTCCACCGCAATCTTTTTGGGGTTCAAGGTTCAGGGTTTAGGGCTTGCAGGGTGTATAGGTTGTATTGGCTGCATAGGGTTTGTAGGGCTTATAAGGTTGGTAGGGGTTTATAGGGTTTATACGGTTTAGGGATTGAGGTTTGGGGTTTAGGGCCCCCCAAACCTTGCACCCGCTTGGCAGCGTGCAGTTTGTGTGTCTATAGGGTTTAGGGATCTGAGCTTAGGGTTTGCGGTGTTTAGAGTGGTTTTCCCTGAGCCTCGCAGGTAGAGTATGCTGTAGGGCGTGAGGGCGTAAGGGCGTGCACTTAGGTGCACGTGTCTACGCTGAAGGAAGATAAGGTTCAGGGCCCGCATCTTCTCTCTGGCCGGACGTTCTCCTCCAGTCTTTGGAAGTTTGATCTTTTCAAGGAATCTTTTGAACAGACAAGACTCACCAATTAAACCCACGCCACTAAACCCCAAACCCTATATATATCCCTGAATCCCTAAAAACCTACATCCCTCAATCCCTAACACCCTAGAACCCTAAAACCCTATCTCCTGGGCTCTGAGCCCGAAAAACCCTAAATCCCTCACTCCCTCAATCCCTGAAACCCTGGAACCCCCAAACCCTAAATCCCTCAAATAAACCCTAAAGACCCTAAATCCCTGAATTAAACCCTAAAAACCCAAAATCCCTCAATTAAGCCCTAAAAACCCTAAATCCCTCAATTAAACCCTAACAACCCTAAATCCCTCAATTAAGCCCTAGAACCCCCAAACCCTCAATTAAACCCTAAAAACCCTAAATCCCTCAATTTAAGCCCTAGAACCCCCAAACCCTCACTCCCCCAAACCCTGCGGCCCAGGGGCCAAGAGCCTCCCGAGTGGCGGCTGCGGGACTTCGCCTTCGCCGCGCCAGAGCGCTCAGAGATTTTTGTAGGGCCCTTTTTTGGGTTTTTTTTGGGTTTTTTTTTGGTTTTTTTTGGGAGTTTTGGGTGGTTTTTTTGGTATTTTTTGGGGTCTTAGGGTATGTTAGGGTTTTTTGGGGGGGAGTTTTATGGGTATTGTGGGGGTTGTAGGTATCTTGGGGTTTCAGGGAGTTTTTGGGTTTTCAGGGTTTAGGGTTTTAGGATTTTTAGGGTCTTAGGTTTTTAGGGCTTTTTGGGATTTTAGGGTTTTTGGGTTTTGGGGGTGTTGGGTTTAGGGTTGGTCCCTTTGTGGTAGCTTAGGGTAGCTTGCGTTTGTTTAGGATGCATAGGTTTGGGGCTTAAAGTTGCTTTAGGGTCACCGGAGTCGAGGTCGAAGGGCCTGCGTATAGGCTCTCGGACTTAGTGTCCAAGAGTCGCATGGAGTTTCCCAAATTGGGTCAGGGTTTAGGGTTTAGGACTCAGGGTTCAGGGTTTGGGGCTTAGGGCTTGGGGTTGCTTAGAGAAGGTGAAGAGCCCTGCAGTCGTACTGCAAATTGACACGCGGCGCACACAATGACCTAAGTACGGATTTGAGGTTTAGGGTTCCGTATACAGTGTTTTTGGTTAGGCCCAAACCCCTGCAGCCCGTACCCGCCGAGGTATAGTGGGCCCAACGCCCCTGGATTGCGCGAGGTCCGGGTCGACATGCTTTTGGCTGATGTTTCGCGGGGCTAAAGCCCTTAACATATCAGGGCTTTAGAGTCTATGTAGGCTTGCGGATGGGGCAATTAAACCCTAAACCCAAGACCTATAAACCCTTATAAACCCCATAAACTCTAAACCCCTGCAAATTCTAAACCCCTACGAACCCTGAACCCTGAGGGTTGGGTTCAGGGTAGCCCAGAAGGCCTGGGACTGAGAGTTGTGGCTGCAGGGTTCCCTTCGGGTTTAGGGTAAGTTTAGGGTTTAGAGAGTTTAGAGTTTAGGGCTTAGGGTTCAGGGTTTAGGGTTTGGGGTGGTTTAGGGTCTAGGGTGCAGGATTAAGGGTTAAAGATCGCACTTGCGGGTTGCAAATGGGCAGCCTTTTTGTGCCTTGGCTGCTTGCGGAACCCAGCCGTTCAGGTTGCCGCTTGAGAAGGTTTGCCCAAGCCCTGAATTCAGAGAGCCGCATACGGCTTCATGGAATCTGCATCAAACCGTACCAAGGGTCCGTGTAGAGTTTAAGGCGCCTAAGGTAAATTCCATATCATTCAGGGGTATTGGAATCGTATTGGAATCTCTGGGAGCACTGAACCCGAAGCCCCTTCCTTGTGTTTAGGATTGGGTTTGGAAAGATCGGAGGTGGGTGCAGGGTACCAGGTGCTCACGGTCAGTTTTCCAATAACACCGCCCCCCCCCGTTCGGGAGCTAGGGCTGCAGCGTTGGGTGCTTAGGAGTCAGTCCTTGGTGTTCAGGTTTCTGGGGCTCAGAGTCTAGGGAACCCTAAACCCAAACCCTAAGCCCTAAGCCCTAAGCCTTAAGCTTTAAGCCCTAAGCCTTAAGCCCTAAGCCCTAAGCCCTAAGCCCTAAATCCTAAACCCCAGCCAGGTCCACTTCGGCCGCCGGTCAGTCTGGGCCTTCGCCTCCGCGCGGGACCACACCGAGGAGTGCGAGCTGAAGGGGCGTTTTTTGGGGTGATTTGGGGCTTTGGGGTTTAGGGTTTAGGGTTTAGGGTTTAGGATTCAGAGGGCTTGGCAGAGGGCTCAACACCCAAAGTACGGATCCCAGAATAGTCGATCTTAATAGGGTCCGCCATTTTGGGAAACAGCAAAATCTGCACTTCATCAGGAGACGCAGATTACGTCCTTAAAGCCTAAACTAACTATAGTTAACCCGAAGCTGCTCAAGCTCGTATTTTACATGTATTCCGCAATGTAAGTTTCAATATTGATGGAATGTGAGGACATGCAGCAATCAGCAATCAACACAACAGAGTCCGCCAGAGAGGCCCTCAACACCCTAAAGCCTGAAGCCCTAAAAGCCCGCAGAATCCGACAAAAGAGGAGATCGTGGTCTTCCGGAAGGGCTCCGATGCGCGACGGAAGCCGGCCACCTCAGCTCAAGCCGCATCTGAGCCCACTCAGAACCCTATACAGTTCGATTCGAAACCATATAAACTCACTCCCCCAACCCCTAAAGTGTAAGAGCCCTATACACATCCCTCATCCCCGCCTCCCAAGCCCCAACCCTAAGCCCTCAAACTTGCAAGAGGGAGTTTTAGGGGTGGCTTCACGGGCGCAGGAGCCAGCCTGAACCTCGCAATCGGGTCGGAAGTTCGGTCTAGCAGCCTGCTTCCTGAAGTTCAGTCTCATGATCCTGCGTTTCTCCAGTACCCTGCGGGTTTAGGGTGTCGCTCCCCGCACGGTTGAGGCTTGAAACCCTAAGCCCCTAAGCATCTGTAAGCCCCAGAACCCAAGACCCGCCTAAGCGGAGGAGATTAATTCATCAGGGCCTTTCCGAGGTCAGTCCTTCGCATTTCATTTGTGGTTGATCATCTTAGGGCTTATAGGGTACTCCCTATCAGCCCTAGAAAGGATATGGTTGCAATTTTTGGGTTTCTGGTCTCGAGAGTTGATAAGGGCGCCGCAGGCTGTTAGTCTATTGGCTTCCTGCCTCTTGCGGTTTGCTAGGATGGTGACCACCGCATCTGTGACACCTGCAGCCCTTTCGGACTTGAGCAGCATCCATGAAGAGGCGGCTAGACATGAATCGGAAACTTCCGCATCGTCTTGAACCTAGACCCGATACCTAGAAGACCCACACCCTCGGCTTCACGTCCCTGAGCTCTCTGAAGCCCTGAAAGGCTTGGAATTGTGAGGAATCGCGACAGTCCAAACCCACGCATCAACCCAAAAAAAAGCAAAGCCGTCTTCGCCATGGCCGGCCTAGTTCTGACAGCGTTGCTTGGGTGGCTGGGTGTGCAACTCGCCTCAACATGGGGAGTCCAATCGACCAGCAGCAGAGTCTGCACTCTATCCCCTGCCCCCCCCCCCCACCCCCCCCACTCCACACCCAAATGTGGGAGGGCGCCTGCCGCAGGAGTGGAGGTCATGAGGTAGTTTTTGGGTTTAAGATGTAGGGTTTCATTATGAGGTTTAGGATTTTTAGGGGTTGAGGCTTATAAGTTATTTATAAGGGTTTCGGTTTGGGGTCTTATAGGGGATTGTGGTGTTAGGCTCCTCGGGCCATGGCTTGGTACCCCAACCCCTGGCACCGCCCGCGCCTTCACCGCAGGAACGCCGCACCACTGCCTGCCTGCGACGTGTCGCGGCCGTCCAAGGATGTGTGTGACGACTTCTGCTCCCCGCCGGACACTAGGGTTGTACAGAAGGTCCTCGTCTTCATGTATAAGAACAGGTATGGTCCGAAGCCATTTTAAGCGCTTTCAAAAACACGCCAAGTCGGTTTTTAGGTTTTGGGGGTGCGCTTCAGCGCCATGAAGGGCACACTGATGCACAAGGACGTACGCGCCATTCTTACCCTAAACCCGAAACCCGAAACCCTAATCCCTAAACCATAATGCCATAATTCTTTACTTTGACACCGAATCGAAAATGCCCGCTAGCCCCTGTAAGCCTGTAAGCCTAGACGCGGGAGGGGGGCCCATGGAGGGCGAAAGAGATAGGCGCCGACCCTTGATTCATACCTGCTGAACAATACCCCATATGATCATAAACAGACTGCGGCGTACTGAAGGCAACAAAACAATCATATCTCGCACTCAAGATCTCACAAAAACACGTAATATCCATCACAAAAACTTCAAGGCGAGAACCTTCTCCTCTGCTTGCCCCATATCACCGGACGTCGGAGATTGGACGCTGACCATACATCCCTTCGTTATTGCCAAGACATTCCTGCATACATGAATCCTTGAAGTCCCGTAGCCCAAAACGCAAGCCCCAATCCCTAAACCCTCGGGCCCTTTACACTACCATTTGCTTAAGTACCCCAAACGAATGGAAAATGTTAGTCCCCATATTTCCCTCAACAAGGAAGAATATTTTTTTATATTTGACTTTCGGGGTTCTTAAGCAATTAGTAGTACAAGATCTTCAACCTTCAAGTTTGGATACCTTCAACAGGGGTTGAAGGGCTTCAAGTTCGGGGGGTAAGGGCAAGGGTGTCTCACGCTAGCGGCTGCAGCCTTAGCCTGTTGAAACCCTAAACCCTAAACGCTAAACCCTAAACCCTAAGCCCTAAACCCTAAACCCTAAAATGTCAGTTTCCGGGGTCAAAGCCCTCAAGATTTCAGCTCCGAACTCTCGGGCCTCCCGGGGGTCTTTGATCCCCAAAAATGCTTGGTGCGAGGCTCTTGGTGTGATTCTAACGTACCAGGCATGTGAACTTTTTTGGCACAACTGCTTTCACACTCCTTCTCCATGCATCCGAATGTAACCTTCAGACCATGGGTTGAGGGTTTTTACAAGGTGAGGAATAGATATTTCGAGCGTTCTTTTTTGAGTTGCCGACAGCCTACACCACGATTAAAAAAGCCTGAGCACCCTAAACCTTGAGTATCCTGCATCACCGCCCAGGCAATTACCGCTGCAGCTTCTACAATGCCTCTGCAGGCGACACTGGCAAGCGTGAGAACGTGACGCTCTACCGCCTGACGCCCCTGAATGCCTCCAGGCCGCACGCAAATCTCGAACACCCAAAATGCTAACATCGGCATTTGGATCGTTATCGTATTGTTTTCACTTATACTATGTCTATTCTGGTTTACTTGGGGGGGGGGGAATCCTAACGGGAACGAAGACAGCAGGGGTTCATGCTCAGCCCAACGCCTTAGAAATGAACCCTATAAACCCTATAAACCCTAAACCCATGGCTCCGGCTTGAGGGTTGATGTTCTGGGAGTCTGTGGAGGTTTCAGTGTTCAGGGTTTGGGTTTAGGGTTTAGGGTTTAGGGTTTAGGGTTTGGGGGGTTCTGTGGGGAGTTTGAACATTAAACCCTGAAACCCAATGTAGGAGTTTGGGGTTTAGGGTTTGTAGGGTATATAGGGCTGAGGATGAACCTCAAATTCTCCCTAAACCCAGTTTAGGGTTGAGGGTTTAGGGTTTAGGGCTGAGGGTTTAGGGTTTAGGCTGTTGAAGGCATCTTGCAAGGCATCTGCCCTAGAGCCTTTGGTAATGTGAAGATTTCCTCTGGGCTTCTGAGAACCCGCCCTCTCACTCCTTCCCAGGTCACCGGCCTCCGCAACAAGAACACCGGCACCGCGGCCAAGGTTTTTGGGGACCCTGAAACCCTAAACCCTATACCCTTTAAACCTAAACCCTAAACCATGGGCGCACAAGATCTTAGCGTGGGTTTTTGTGGAGGCAGTGCCCTCGAAGATGGGAGGGGCCTCTGAAGGTGGATGCTTGCAGTGCAAACGACACGCCCTCTGAAGTTCCGACCTCTACTTAGGGTTTGGGGTTTAGGGTTTTGGGTTTTGGGTTTGGGGTTTTAGGGTAATTTTAGTTTTTTTTGATCCTTGGGTTGATGACAGTTTATGACAAGCGCCAGTGGCTCCGTCACGAAGCCCGAATCCCTCTCTCCTGCCAAGGAGATGCATCTGGTGACATCAACTACTGGATTTCGAAGAAGACCTTCGTCCTGCAATACTCGGGTTTAGGGTCTCCGGAGGTTCGGGCACAAAGGCGGCTGCAGGGTGTTCTGGGCTTTGGGCTTGATGGCTCTGGCTTCAAGGTCAAGGATTTCAGTGGTTTTAGAGTTGAGGGTGACGTGTCCAGGGGTTTAGGGTCTTAATGGGTGCTGAGGGTGTCGGGGTTTCTTGGGACCTGCGGGGCAGCACCCTTGTTGAGGGGGTTTCGGGGTTTTGGGGTTGAGAGTCAGGGGCTTCGTCGTTCAGGCCTCGGGGCTTTGTGCTTAGGATGTAGTATTAAAATGCAGAGTTTGGGGACGTGGCGTATGGGGGCTTAGGGCCGCAATTTTGGGATAAGGATTGCAGAACAGCTTCAGGAGTTTAGAGGATCGGAGTGTAGGAGGTTTGGGTTCAGGGCTCTAGGAGCAGTCCAGGGGTTTCGCAAGATCTCAGAAGGTGCAGGGCTCTTACTGTAGTGGATCTGGCCTGGAGGCTCACACTCAAACCCTAAACTAGTTCGCAGTTGTCTTTCTATCTGCACTTTTGTTCCTGCATCGCCCTCAGAAGTAGGTGTCGGTGACAGCTTGTTTGTCTGAATTGTGCAGCTGCTTGATTCGCAGTTTTATTCCCGCACCGCCCTCAGAAGTAGGCGTGGGTGAGGGCCTTTCTGTCTGGCGTACGTGCCTCCGCATGTGTTGTTCTGGCACCGCCCTCAGAAGTGGGGTGGTCCACAAGCCCTCAATGCTGTGAGGCATCTGGCCATGCTGTCGCCCAGGGAGGTGTGACCCCTCTTGAACGGCTCGTTAAGAGCAGCCTTTATTGCAAAGTTGATGATGGAGAGGGCCCTGTTCAAGGTCGCAGGCTGGGATGCAGAGCAGAGTCGTTCCAAATTCAGATGTCCAAGCACTTGGACCATGAAGAAGATCTGCCTGAGCCTTGCGCCAGTTCACTACTTGCCCAGCTGCTTTCGGAAGTTGGACGGCTTCTTCACAGAATCCTACCCTAAACGCTAAACCCTAGACCCTAAACCCTAAACCCTAAACCCTAAACCCTAAACCCTAAACCCTAAACCCTAAACCCTAAACCCTAAACCCAACAAGGCATCTCCTCACAGAGTGTAGGGCTTCGGGTGGCAAGCTTCCCCTTCCCCCGAACGAGCCGCAAGCTGTCCAGGAACATGTCGCGCATCTGCGCGGAGGCTGCAGGGTTTAGGGTTTAGGGTTTAGGGTTTAGCATTTCCGGCCGTTGCAAGCGCACGTTACCTCCTCGGCGTCGGCTCGCGGTCCAGGGACGTAGGGGAGCAACTGCCGCTTGCACTCAGAACACAGATGTCTTTGTGGTATTCTGGCATGTGGGGCGACACTGGATTGGAGCCCCCTGCAATCCGTAAGATGGATGTAATAGTACGCCGTTTTTTTTGTTATAAACAGGGCCCCTATACAAAACCTCTTTGATTCGTCAGGATCTCATGAACTTTTCACCCCTCCACCCTGACTGGCCCCTCTAAGCCCTAAAAGCCCCAAAACCCTAAAACAGCCAAACTCGTTTGAATCTCTGAGGCCGCGTGTTCGGAATTCCAAATTCATGATCATCTCAAGAAGTTACCAGATAATAACGTCATCAGAAGAGGTCACAAAAAGCAAAGTGCAGGTCGTGGCTTGTTCCCTTTCCGGTCCTAAGCGGCCAGCGTCTAATCTACACAAGAAACCCTAAGCACCTAAACCCTTCCACCCCTTCCCCCACTTGAACACAAGCTTCCGTAGGATCCCCGAGCACACGGCTGCGTCGACGCGTCGGAGGAGATTCTGGGGAGGGGGGTGGGGAGGGGGCGATAAGTGGGATTTAGAGTCTTTGGGGCGTTCGGTTTTGAGTTTTCCAGGTGTTGGGATGTTCTTGTGGAGCTTTCGGGTCTAGGCTTTAGGCTTTGGGGAGGTATTTGTGGCCTTGGGCCTTTGGTTCAAGAGGGGGGAGTGGGTGGAGTTTTGGTTTGGCCTCAATAATTTTGACGCTGCGCGACCCGCCTCGGCCTGGCCGAGCGCATCCGCGTGAGCATGGTGATTCCGCAGCGCCCAAGTCGCTGAGGGTTTATGGTTTAGGGGCCAGTGGGGGGGGGGGGGGGGAAGGCAGGGGCGGGCGGGGGGGAGGGCTGACAACCTATACACCTTCGGCCCAAACCCTCGGCGTTTTGGGGGGTTGGTGTAGTTCTATAGGGACCAGTAATTATTCCGACCCCTTTATTCGGTCTTACAGCCAAAGTGTTTGGGGGCTTGATATTTGGTGGGTGTCCTTTGGCAAGCTTTGGAGGTCCGTGGGGTCCTGCCGTCCGATGCTACCGTTGCTTGAAGTGAGTTTGCCTGTTCTGGTAGCCCCTAAACGGCCCTAAACCCTAAAAGCCCTGAACCCCTAAAGCCTAGAAACCCTACAGGGGGTCACACAATCGTTTGGGCCTTCTTTCTTGACCCTGAACCCAACAATTCTCCGGAAGGATCTCTACGGCATCTTCACCCTCGAGGTGGACGGCCAGTAGCTCCGAACACACGTAGAGCAGTCTTGAGTCCTACTTTTCACGGTTTGGGGTTAGTTGGAATGAATCACAGGCGTAGCAGTAGAGCAGTCTTGGGTCCTGCTTTTCATGGTTCGGGGTCAGACGGTATGAATCACAGTCGTAGCAGTAGTCAAAGTGCAAATGCTGATCGTAACAGCGATAGTACGGTCTTTAGAAACATATTTGTTTAGGGCCTGCCCCCTATCTCAGAAAACGAAGTTGCCAGCTTTTTTGGGGGGGGGAGGGGGTGGGCAACTGAGGTACGGCCCCTACTTGCAGTGCAATCCAGTGCAAGGCGTCGGCTGCCAAAGGGCCTGTTAACCCCGTGAACCTTCAAGTCCGATAGGCGCTAAACCCTGCTGACACCGCTTCATGGGCCCTGAACTCACTGGCAAGCCTTTTAAAGTCCCAAGGCCGCTAGGGTTTAGCAGCGGTTCGATCCTTCAATCTCCGCACCGCGCTAGGTTCCACGGTTCAGGTCACCCCTCCCCCCTCCACGTGCTCCTCCAAGTTCGGTGGCATTCCTGCCGGGTCTCTCGAAGGCTTTATTTGAAGGGTTTAGGGTTTAGGGTAGTTTAGGGTTTCGGGTTTAGGGTTTAGGGTTGGTGCAAGTAAAGCCTTGAAACCGAAACCACAGCGCCAGGCGGGGGACCGGATCCATTTCACAATCCTCTGTGGATGGATTCGTCGAGCCACGGCTGGGGTGGTTTGTGGTGTATACCTGTTTATACAAGCACCCGATGCCTACCCTTCTGTGTGTTACCTACGAGCCCTATAAGGGGTCTCTATTTTAGAACATCCCACTAACCCAAGGAAGGGTTTTAGGGGGTGTGCGCCCCAGGACGGTTTGGACACTTGATGTTATCTGGTCTGTTGTAAGTCTTTGCGCTTTCAACCCTGAGTCGTTGTGTGCTTGTGAGAGACTTGTGGCGCTCGAAGTCTCCGGGTACAAGGATTTAGAAGCTCAGTTTTTTAGATCAGAACCCAAAACCCTGGACCCTAAACCCTACAACCTGAGCCAGAACGGCCCCAAAAATCTCAATCCCTCCCCTGTGACAAGACTCGGTTGGTGAGGTCCCTGACCAAAACCCAAAAACCCTGAACCCTAAACCCTAAACCCTAAAGGCCCGAAATATCCCCCAAAGCCCTTGAGCTCCTCAACCCTAAACCCGCGCGGGGGGGCCGGGGGGCGCCAAGGAACTTCAGCTGCGGGCAGAACTGCATCATCGCCATTTGGGCTGCAGCCTTCAAAGAGGGTTTCAGGGGCTATGGGTGTAAAGGGTTTGCGGTTTTAGAGTTTAGGGTTCAGGGGGTTTGGGGTTTAGGGTTTAGGGGGTTTAGGGTTTAGGGTTCAGGGTCTGAGGTTTAGGTTTCGTGTTCAGGGGGCATCTCTGAATTGGACGCACAGACGGCGCAAATTCGGATCCTCATCCTAAACCCGGAAGGGCTCTAAATTGGTTCAAGGTCTTAGGGGTTTGTGAGATCCTCTTCCACAGTAGCGTTCATCTCTTGAGCAAGGGGCGAAGGGTGAGTTGGACGGGAGCGGGGTTCCTTTCTCGATTCGACTTTGACCAACATTCATCTTTGCTGCACAAATCACCGACGGCGAGCTCCGCTAGAGCTCGGGCCTGATTCTTGGGCCCATGTTCCGATTGATTTTGTCAAAAGTGCATTTACCATGCCAGCAGACTGCCTGGCGAACAACGAAGTGCTGGTGCGGCAGGGTCTTGACAGGGCGTGTTCACAGGTTCATGGATACATGGAAGCCCTGTGACGCACAGGGGCAGCCTGCTGAAGAAATGGGCATGAGACTCAGCAGATCTGCCCTGCGCCAGCTGACAGCTTCGCCTGCTGTCGCGAGGGCCTTGGTAGCAGATGTTCGAAAACCTACTCGAGGCCTCAAGGATTGTGGAGGGGGCCTCACACTTGTGAAGATTGGCAGCATCGCCCGCAACATCGTGCGCATCATCGTCATCACCACCCCTTGACTAGAGAAGGCAAATGGGGCCTAAGGCCTAAGGTTCCTGCAAAACAAGCCCCTCCGTTTGGGGGGGGAATTCCGCGCCTTGAACTGGGTTCAGGGTTTAGGGTTTATAGGGTTTAGGGTTCAGGGTTTAGGGTTTTGGGTTTAGGGAAACAAGCCTTAAGTAGGGGGGGATTCTACGATGATTCCGGGGTCATGCCAGCCTGGCCTCTGCAGAGGCCACCACCGAGGGCTGCTGGAACCATGACATTCCACCGGATGCTCGTCTCAACCCTAAATCCCAGACCGCAGTCCCTTAAGGTTGAGGGTTTAGGGTTTAGGGTTTACACTAAAACCCAACTTAACCCTAAATGAGTTAGCAATGACAATTTCCATTTTCTAACCACGCCCCACCCCCTGCACCCAAACCATAACAACCTATGCCTCAACCCTAAACCCACCCAAGACCCATAGGTAGAACCCTAGGAATAACTCACATGAAGACCCAAAACCAGAACAACCTGTACCTCAACCCTAACCTCACCAAAAATACCCATAGCAAGACCCACAAGATAGAACCATTAGAAGACTCACACACCACCCCATAGAAAAAACCCAACCTCAACCCCATACGCCCGCACCTCCATAGACAAACCATATTCTCAACCTGACATCCTTAACCCTAGAAAATGGAAATGGTCAAGGCTACACCTTAATGGAGAGCTTACGCTCTCTATCATCTCAAATACAATATCTATGAAATAGGAAAAAGGTTTAGGAATAAGATCGAACCGACTAGAACGATATTTGCAGTACAGCATGAGTTACTTGTCCAAATTCCGCTTTCAGCTTCGACCGCAGCCTCACTGGGCATTTCTTCCTGCAGCCATTCCTTGATGGCCTTGAAAGCTGGCCTGGCATTTGCCTTGTTCTTTCTGGCACTGGCACAAAGGGCGCCATTCCAGTCTTTTCTTGCGGTCCGTCCTGGCTCCTGGTTTGTTCGCACACAGGGTCAGTCACCTTTCGCCTGGCCAAGTATTGCCCATTGCTCGTTCAAATGTTCTAATATTAATTAAAATAGTAGAAGATTTTTCAGTCTAACCATGCCTAAAGACTAGACTTTATAGTATAGTAAGATGGAAAAACGAGTGTGTAAATCGTGCTGTGCTACAAAAGATGACGAAGAGTTTGACGGATAATAGGTGCCGTGAAGCGAAAGAGAATGCTACAAGAAAAACCAGAAGGAATATAACCAAGCACGAAGAGAAGAGAGGGCAAAAGGGAGCCAATTATGCGAAGAATGCGGGCATAAGATAAAACACGAAAACTGGGATGCCCATTTCCATTATGCGTTACACCCGAACTCAGAACTAAATGTATTGATGAAAGGTTATTTAACAAAGCTAGGTAATTTAAGGAAAGAAGGCAAACTAAACCACGAATTACAAGCAGAGATTAAGGCGCAATACGAAAAGCAGAAAAGGGAAATACGCAAACGACTAAACGAACAATTCCCCAACAAATTTGTTGATGATGAACTACATCCAGAACCCGAGAAACCTAAACCCGATATTGATAAAGTATTCAATCACGTCCATCAGTTGCTAATGAATGATGAGTTTTTAGAAGATCACTTTATGCTATTCGGAAAGCATAAGGATAGAGTGATTATTGAAGTTCCAGTTGAAAAGTCATAAGTACAATGTAGTTATAATCCTTAAGTTGTTACAGACTATAACTATATTATAGTTAAAACCTTATCCCTAAACCTTATTCCTATTATTGTAAAATTATTTAAGATGACCATTTCCATTTTCAAGGGTTAGGGATTTCGGGTTGGGAATATGGTTTTTCTATGGGTGTGCGGGTGTATGGAGTTGAGGTTGGGATTTTTCTATGTGGTGGTGTATGGTTTCTTCTAGTGGTTCTATCTTGTGGGCATTGAGGTATAGGTTGTTATGGTTTTGGGTCTTTGGGTGAGTTATTCCTAGGGTTCTACCTATGGGTCTTGGGTTGGTTGAAGGTTGAGGTATAGGTTGTTATGGTTTGGGTGCTAGGGGGTGGTGCATGATTAGAAAATGGAAATGGTCATTGCTAACTAAATGGGGGTTTCCGAAGTTGGAGGTACCTTCTTGGGGTCCTTATTATAAGGGGATACTACTATTTGGGAATCTATATTGGGGGCCCCGTATTTTCGTAAACCCACAACATAACCCTTACCGTATAAACCCCGAACATCGAACCCTTAATCACCCCAAACCCTGAACCCGGAACCGCGAACCTGAAGCAACGGTACGCACTTCGTTGCCCGGTGTACTCAACAAGCCGAGGCCTGTGTCGTGTACACGTTGTATCACCCCAAACCCTCAAACCCCAAACCCCAAACCCTAAACCCTAAACTGCCCTAAACCCGAAACCTCAAAAATCGAATCAGACTGGGTGTCCGTGAGGTCGAGAATTGCTCAGCCTAGGGTGTAGCTGGGACGGTGGGTTCCGTGTGCTTACACTGGGCTGCTTCATGTTTAGGGTTCAGGGTTTAGGGTTTAGGGCATAAGGGCATAAGGGTTTCTCTGTGTGTGTGTGTGTGTGCGTGCGTGCGTGCGTGCGTGCGTGCGTGCGTGCGTGTGTGTGTGTGTGTGCAGTGCTTCAGGGGTTTGGGGGGTTGTTAAATGAGGGTTCGTCAGGGTGCTGGGGGGCTGAGTTGTGATCTCTTGGCGTTTGGTGGAGCTGGAGGAGCCCTGAAGCCCCGCACGAACTCACAACCCGGACCCCTCGGAGCACAAAACGGGCCGAGAAAGGTCTCTTAGGCAACCCCTAGACCCTAAACCCTAAACCCTAAACCCTAAACCCTAAACCCTAAACCCTAAACCCTAAACCCTAAACCCTAAACCCTAAACCCTAAACCCTAAACCCTAAACCCTAAACCCTAAACCCTAAACCCTAAACCCTTAAACCTAAACCCTAAACCCTAAACCCTAAACCCTAAACCCTAAACCCTAAACCCTAAACCCTAAACCCT